TTTGGACTGAATTAAAGATCTTAGAGGATTAGAGGATTAAGATAATTAATTCAGTCTAAAATTTCCCTCTTTATTTTAGGTGTTTGATTAAAGGTCWTTGAAATTCTTGGGTCGCATTTCAACGATAATAGTAGTAAAAAAAAATGCAAAAAATTGATGCGCTAGGTATTAAAAACACTACCTTGGAGTTGCAGGTACCCCATCATTTCCCGCCTTTTTCGATTCTCCAACTTTATCCATCCATGTCCCAGCATTCCACTCGTTCCCGCCAAAAACAAACCCAGTCCTCTCGTTGACGCCAACACTCACRTTAAACCCTTTGTCCTTCATGTTGTGGTCTAGGCTCGGCCCTGCTCCCCTCTCACGGAACTGTACGCCAATGAAATGACGCTGGATTGCCTCTTGCATTACGTCAYGTAATGGTTTCTCCTAAGACAAAAAGCTAGTCAAATTATAGTAAAACAATGGGTACATTATTTGAATCAATCGATATGCACAACACAATTCTAGATCCCTTCAAAAATAATTCTAGGGAATAGACTTCCTCGGCTCGGGCATAATGTTGTCCCATTTCATGCCACATGTCATTCCCTAGAGTATCATTTCTTTGTTTAACGGTTGCGCTCAGTTGCACATGAGAAGACACATGAATATGGATACAACTCCAACAAAGAATCTCATTCTCAAGGGAATGACACGTGGTCTAAAATGGGAAAACATTACGCCAAAGGTAGAGAGGTGTATAGACACCTTGCAGCACTTCGGAATGCAGCGCGATTTGGAGGGCAAAACAATAGGTTTCCAATTCTCAGGAGATTGAAAGTCTTTTGCTTTGTCCCCCAAATTGAATTCCTTTGACGTCACATGCAAGGGGTCTATAAGTATTGGGGTTCCTGTCACTCAATAGTCCCTTTCACAGTTCCCTGCGCCGTCTTGAAAGGTAGCCGTGCCTTTGCATCGAAGCGAACCGAACGGTAAGCGTGTAATGAAAGAGACCTTGGACAATTATTCGCATGTCTCTATCATTGCAAGCTCATCGTTCATCTCACTTCGATGCAAAGGCACGGCTACCTTTCAAGATGGCGCAGGGAACTGTGAAGGGGACTATTGAGGAATTGCATTCATTCCGAAAAATGTCATCAGACAAAGACATGAATGGCGGCCATGTTGGTGGTACTGCTTGATGAATTACAAGTTTTCAATAGCATTCTTTCTACTGAGTTGACAGCACATGATAGTCAAAGTCATTGTTTAACCACCATTTGGAGCAGATAATGAGATTCAAAGATTTTTATCAGGTGATTGAAAGCCTAATTGAAAAATAAAAGAAATATTTTGAGAAATGCCACCAATATGGCCGCGATGATAACGAGCAAGTGTAGAATCTATTATAGACTTAAAGTGGTGTTTTTAACGTTAATGTGTGACGTTTAACCTTATGGCTGCTGTCTAWCCATGCCACAATAGAGCTTCCAAGTGTGACGTCAATCGTATGRAAAATGACTTCCGGGTCCAAAACGAAAAGCTGTTCTATGGAGGTTTTTTCTTACTTGGTGGTGGTTAATGCATTGCGTGCATAATTCACTTTATAGKCTGCTACCAATAGTACGTTATTTCCGGTCGCGAGCAACTGGACCCGGAAATACGTCACAACTTAAAAAGCTCTATACGAAACCACCACTTACAATCTTCTGATGCATAAAACTGGAGTAAGGCCATCGCATCAGCCATGGGGAATCTCTCACCTCTTTACCCGCGTGATCGRTGTTGTCAGAAGGGAATGCCCTAACTACTGCAGCTTTTAGAATATCKAAACCTTGTGGGACTATTTTACAGTAATCYTGGATTGACTGAAGCCACCACCATACTGCATCGCGGCAGTTGTATCTTGGGTTGATTCCGCCGTCCAGGAGATTGGGGATGAGTCCGTGACGTAGGCACCCAGCGAAGGCTAGGATGTGATGTCTGGGGGGAGGTGAGACGATGGAGTTAGAATACACATGGTTGAGACAATCACAGCACACATCCTTATCCAATCAAAATAGAGGGACTTTTTTTACATTTCCACAGGGATCCCATCATACTTACTTTGCATCAGCATATCGCCCAGTAGTCAGCATGAGTCCACGAAGAGCAATAAAAGTGTCCCGTCCCCAGCAMCGCATGAATCCCGTAGAGAAGTGCGGTAATCCCGCAGCCATAGACATAAGAGTAGGCATCTCTGACCCAGACACGGGGCCATAATGAACTGAGGGGGAGAGGGAAGGGAGATTTGCTGATCGGGTGAGACCAAGGAACTGCACTGAACCTAATGCCAAGGATTTTACGAATGTTGAACCATCTTTGACAAAGCTGTTGAAAATGGGAAATTAAAAAAACTGAAAGCTGGAGCAAAAAAATATAGGAATGAAGTTATGAAAAGGAACAAAATTGGAGCCAAAATCCTCAAACGTCTTGAATAGACTTTTTCTGAATTTGGTTGAGTGACCAAGGAACAATCGTTCCAAGTCGAGGATGGAATGTATAATCAACCTCCACTTGACAGTTATGTCGCAAGCGCTAAGAAGAACTATCGAGAAGAGCTGTCGATATTGGCAAAAACAAACAATAGTGTTCATTGTCCACCCGTTCTCTTAGAGCTACAACCTGTTGCAGCCAATCAGAATCCAGAAAATTTGCAAAACTGAGGTGCTACTTTTCCTCTTGAAATTAGGGATTTCCAGGCCACCATAAAAAAAATTAACGACATTTCAGATCACGCGGTTATATTTACCTTGACATAAGAGACCAGGCTCTCTTTAGRAGCATCAGGTAGAGAGGAGTGATGATGGCATCGAAGTAGCAGGGCACTAGATAGCGAGGACACTCTTTAACCAGGCTAAATGCCTTATCTAACCATACACCTAACTAGAAGAATAAATATTGGAGATCATTTATGGAAGATGGGAGGGCATAGGATGGGGTGGGACAGCACGGGATAGGATAGGATAGCTACAGAAAGGAGAAGAAAGGAAGGGAAAGAAACATAAATAAAAGGAAATGAAATAGAGAAACGAGAAGAATGGAAGAAAAACGAAACGAAAAGGAAAGGAAATGAGACAAAAGAAATGGAACGATAGAAAATGGAAAGAAAACAAAAGGATTTCTTACTTGTCTAGTTCCATGTACTGGTAATAGTCTGTTGACTGTGTAATCCATCATCCAGTTGCCTTCACGTAGGTTCTTACAGATTGGGTGAGCCAGATCATTGTGTTGACGAACATCCGTTAAAACAGATAGAAATCCTATAAAGACACGCAACAGCTTTCTCAATACACCCCATTCCTTATCCAGACTCGTACCCAGTCGTCACTCGCGCTTTTTTAATGCGCGCGATGGCTTTTGGAAAGGATAGTGAAAAAGTGACGGCTTCGCTTTTCTCTTCGTTCCTTCCCTTGATGCACCTCGAGATCAATAAGACAAGAGAAGCGACTGGTTACGAGTCTGTCCTTTATCCATCCCACCCATCAAGAAGAATAACTCTATCTAATGAATGGACCTCCTTAGCTTCGGCGTAATGTTTTCCCATTGCAGATCACGTGTAATTTCCTAGAGTATCAGATCTTTGTTTTGCTGTTGATCATGAGAAGACACGTGCTTGAACATGAATACAACTCAAGGGAATGACACACGGTCTGAAATGAAATTAAAAAAATTTTGAGCCAATGCTTAAGGCGCGATTACACGGAGCAATTTTCTCTGAAACTTGTCTAGCAACGGCGCTGCAAAACGAGTTGCGTGTACCATTGCAGCGTGTAACCTACAGCTCGATTTAAAAAATGTTGCGAGACAAGTTGCAGCAATCGTTTGCATCTCCGTTGCACCTTGTAAGCATTCATGCGAGACAAGTTGCAGAGAAAATTTTTCCGTCAAATTGAGCCTTCAAGAGTTTTTTTTTTTTAAAGACATTAGACGCATTAGACATTAGATACAGGACTATGGTTTTCAATCTGTCTAACCATAATATGCTAGACCTACTTGCCTGCCTGCATATCCCCTATSTACTTACCTTACACAAACATATCCTTACCTTGCAGACCACAATATGTTAGTGGTCCATAGTCAGGTATATTGTACACCCCACCACCTCTGCCTTCCTCAGCCTCCTCGTTATGGCAGCGATACAGCACCCGGTTCAAGTCTGAGAGAGACAGGTTGCTKATGATGGCGTTGAGCTCTTGTAGTGATTTTGCGCTCTCTTGGTTCCCTGTGGTGACACCATACATCTCACATGAAAGAGACCTGAAAGACAAAAATCGTTAATTGTTATATGTAACGAACAGACAGACAGACAGACAGACTGACTGACATAACAGACAGACAGACAGAAATTTGGACAAAGAGCAAAGCCACCTGCAGGCAGGACGGATAGATAAAAAGACAGACAGAATTACTGGCCGACCAACCGACTGCCTTACAGTCCTTACCTTAACTGTCCCAAGGCTTTGCGAACTCGAGGTTCCATCATGACTTGAAATGCAATGACACTACCAGGAGAAAAATGGTCAAAAACCACCTCACACATGTTGGCACCTTCTTTACGAATAATAGTGCAGGTCTGTTGATAAAAGAAAAGATAAAAACGGGACGACACTTAGCCATGCTGAATGGGTCTATTGATTGTAAAATACTCAAGGGAATGGTCATGCTAAATGGGTCTATTGCTTATACAATTCTCAAGGTAATGGTCATGTGGTCTGAAATGGGACAACGTTGAGCCACGCTGAATGGGTCTATTGCTTGCACAATACTCAAGGGAATGGTCATGTGGTCTGAAATGGGACAACATTGAGCCAAGCTGAATGGGTCTATTGCTTGCACAATACTCAACGGAATGGTCATGTGGTCTGAAATGGGACAACATTATGCCCGAGCTGAATGGGTCTTTTGCTTATATGATACTAGTCAGAGAGAATGGTCATAAGATCTGAAATGTTTTAACACTGAGCCAATCTTAGCGGGTATAAAAAAGCACCTTGGATTGCTGTATTGGTATATTTTCCTGAATCACTGCTACATGTGACTCCAGTCCATTGATGAAACCGCCATCTTTCTTGAACTCCTTTAAACCATTCTTCTTCACAAGAGTTGCCTCGAAAATGACCTCTTCGATGTCACCTGAACAAGTAGAAAATGATT